GGAGTAATACACAGCCCTAGGTATAGGACTGTGTCATTTCTGAAACCCTTTTCATAGTGTCATAGTCTTATTTTACTTTGATACTGCCTCCGAAGCCGAGACTAACCAATGACAAGCCCGTATGTATCCTAATTGGGATACACGAATTTGGCCCCCTGAATTTTTTGAGAAAAATTTGGTACAAATTGCTTGAAATCAGTGTTAAAAATCTATTGAGTGATAAATTAAGAAGTACCCAATGTCACAACCTATTCCTGTCGAAAATGCTTATAGTGAATCTAAGCCTAACTCCTGCAGCTTACAGAAAATGAGAGAAATCCAGAATATTTGTCATTCTACAAGACAACTGGCCTTGTCTATTCAAAAAGTCAGTGTTTCAGAAAACAAGTTCTAGGTTTAGAGATTAAAGGGATCAGTAACAGTGCTGAGACCCTGACTGTATCTTTGTTTATAATACATTAGAGGAACAAGCAGGACTGAATGTGAATTTAACAGTAGTTTCATTAAGTGTAATAATGGTGGAATTACAATTACACAGAAGAACACACCTATTTTTAGGAGATGCATGCCGAAGCGCATAGGGGTGAAGTGTTGAAGTCTACAACTTATTTTCAAATGGTTCATCCAATTTATACACACACACACACACACACACACACATGCGCATGTGCTCGCGCGCGCGCACACACACACACAGAGTAAATATGGTGAAATGTTATTTCGTTAGATCTGGGTAGAAGGCGTACAGGAGTTCATCCTTTTATCAACACTCCATTTTGAAAATTTTCACAAAGTTGAGGGATATCTTTAGGTTTTCCATTTTTTAAAAAGATTTTATTTATTTGACAGATGGAGATCACAAGTAGGCAGAGAAGCAGGCAGAGAGAGAGAGGAGGAAGCAGGCTCCCCGCTGAGCAGAGAACCCGATGAGGGGCTCAGTCCCAGGACCCTGGGATCATGACCTGAGCTGAAGGCAGAGGCTTAACCCACTGAGCCACCCAGGCGCCCCTAGGTTTTCCATTTAAATCATCACTTTTAAAAATGCTCTGTCCTTGGGGCGCCTAGGTGGCTCAGCAGGTTAAGCCGCTGCCTTCAGCTCAGGTCATGATCCCAGAGTCCTGGGATCGAGCCCCATGTCGGGCTCTCTGCTCAGCAGGGAGCCTGCTTCCTCCTCTCTCTGCCTGCCTCTCTGCCTACTTGTAATCTCTGTCTGTCAAATTAAACAAAAAAAAATGCTCTGTCCTTCAGGCAGGGTTTTTGAAAATATGGTCTCTCATCATCAATAGGAGAATCACAAAAGAAAACAGAGAAATGGCCAAAGAGCAAATGAAAAGAAGCTCAATGTCAGGCATCCAAGCAAAGGCCAATATAATTACAGACTTGTGGCATCACTGCCATGCGCTGAAACTGATGGGACGTGTGTGTCGGTGACACTGGATAAAAACAAAGGCAAACAGAAACCACGAGGAGTCAGCACTACACACCCACGCGAGTGGTGACACCGAAGGAGACTGGCAACCTCAGGGCTGATGAAGGTGTGGAACGGCGGGAGCTCAGCTCACACTGGTGCGGGGATTATAAAATGGTACAGCTACTTTGGAAAACAATTCGGCAGTTTCTTACAAACATACAACCCAGTAATCCTCTTAGGTCCCTAGAGAAAGGAAAACCTACCTCCAAAGACCTGTACGTGAACGCTCATAGCAGCTGTATTCCTAACAGCCCAAACCTGGAGATAACCGTGACATCACCAACCCGAGCAGAGAGAAACTGGGCTCTACACCTGCAGAGCAAGCAGCTATGGACCTCTGCGGCAACGCAAGCGAGTCTCTGAAACCAAAAGTACATACTACAGGCCTCTTTTTTTTCTACAAAATCCTAGAACAAGTTCAACTTACCTGTAGAGACCGACCACAGATTCACCTGGGACTGGAGGTCAGGGAGGATTGGCTGCAGAGGGACACAAGGGAACTTTCTGGGGCCTGTGGGACCTATCCCATATCTTGTTTGGCGGTGGTGACACAGGCAGCTACATTCGTTGGAAGGTACCTCCAAGACCGGTAGATTTTCTTTTGGGCAACTCTATCTCAATAATTTGATTTATTTCTAATTTTTTAAAAAGATTTTTATTTATTTGAGAAACAGAGATCACAAGTAGGCAGAGAAGCATGCAGAGAGAGAGAGAGAGAGAGAGGAGGAGGAAGCAGGCTCACTGCTGAGCAGAGAGCCCGATGCGGGGCTTGATCCCAGGACCCCGAGATCATGACCTGAGCCAAAGGCAGAGGCTTTAACCCACTGAGCCACCCAGGTGCCCCTCAATAAGTTAATTTTTTTTTAAGATTTAATTTATTTGACAGAGAGAGATCACAAGGAGGCAGAGGCAGGCAGAGAGAGGGGGAAGCAGGCTTCCTGCTGAGCAGAGAGCCCAATGTGGGGCTTGATCCCAGAACCTTGAGATCATGACCTGAGTCAAAGGCAGAGGCTTAACCCACTGAGCCACCCAGGCGCCCCAATAGGTTGATTTAAAATAGGTTCACATATCTCTCTCCCACCCCCCACCTCCCTGCCCCGCCATGGGCTCTTTTAGACAGGGTTTCTCAAAATGTGGCATCTGGACTATGTGCGTCAGCATCACCAGGAACGCTGGTAAAAATCTTATCCACTGAAGCAGAATCTCTTGATGGGGTGGAGGAGGAGTCAAATACACCTGACCCTGGTGGCTCTTCCACCACTGGATGGCCATCTGAATGGACCTCGGAGGCTGCTGGGCCCACCCATGCCAGCAGCTGGTCCCCACAGCTCCGTGACCCCAGCCAGTGCCGGCAGTGCCACGATGACATGTGGATTTCACACACTAGCAGCTGGTGGCACCTGGTGGGAAGAGAGACTAGAGGAACTCCTCAGGAGGAATTCCATGCCATCCGGCCTGCTGTGTCATCTCCCCAGCTTCAGTTTTGTACAAAGGGAAAGATGCGCTCTGAACGCCTGGCTGGAACCTGTGAGCAGGCCCCTCAGCAAATGAGGTAATGACAGGCTGCAAGAAGGGGCGGCCCCAGCACTCACTTCTGGAGCCAGCAATTCTCAAGCCGGGCTGTGCGTCAGGATCTTGTGGACTTTTTTTAAAAAGTCTAATTCCTGGGGCACCTGGGTGGCTCAGTGGGTTAAAGCCTCTGCCTTCAGCTCAGGTCATGGTCCCAGGGTCCTGGGATCGAGCCCCACATCGGGCTCTCTGCTCGGCGGGGAGCCTGCTTCCTCCTCTCTCTGTGCCGGCCTCTCTGCCTACTTGTGATCTCTGTCTGTCAAATAAATAAATAAAATCTTAAAAAAAAAAGATTAAAAAAAAGTCTAATTCCTCTTTTAACATAGTAGTACATAAATACGGGCTCTTGAAACAAACAAGAAAACCAACCAATGAATACAGCTTTAGTGATACTAAAATACACATATTTAAACAACAAAGATTGGTCCCTCTGTAATCTTATTCCTGCTCCTTGTAAACACTGGAGTTTCTTAATCTTACGTGTACAGCTTGAGGCGCCTGGGTGGCTCAGTGGGTTAAGCCTCTGCCTTCGGCTCAGGTCATGATCCCAGGGTCCTGGGATCGAGCCCCGCATCGGGTTCTCTGCTCAGCAGAGAGCCTGCCTCTCTGCCTACTTGTGATCTCTGTCAAATAAATAAAAAATCTTAAAAAAAAAGTATACAGCTTGATGAACGTTTATGTCTGTGTCCACCTGACCCTGTCCAGATCCAGACCACTTCCAGCACCCTAGAATGTTCCCTGGGGACCATTCTCAGTTCATATTTCCCCCACATAACCCCTATTCTGACTCCAGTCACTATCAGTTAGTTTTAAGGCAACCACTTTATTTTTGCCATTTCTTCTAGTACTGTTTCCGTATTTCTTTCTTTTTTTTTTTAAGATTTTTATTTATTGAGACACCTGGGTGGCTAAGTCGGTTGAGCGGCTGCCTTTGGCTCGAGTCATGATCCCCGCGTCCTGGGATGGAGCCCCATATCCGGCTCCTTGCTTGGTGGGGAGCCTGCTTCTCCCTCTGCCTCTGCCTGCCACTCTGCCTGCTTGTTCTCTCTCTCTCTCTGACAAATAAATAAATAAACTCTTTAAAAAAAAAAGATTTTTTATTTATTGGGTGGGGAGGGGCAGAGGAAGAGGGAGAGAACCTCCACAATGAGTGCGGGGACATGATCTCCTGACCCTGAGATCATGACTTGAGCCAAAACCAAGAGTCAGTCACTTACCTACTGAGCCTCCCAGGCGCCTTTCCAGATTCCTAAATAACACGGCTACACTGCTGTTGCTCGGTCTGCCTACTCCAGACAGGAGCTAGTAGCTTCTTAGGACCTAAGTCAAAAGATCGCTCTTGTCCCAATTCCTCAGCAGGTGAAGCTTAAAAACTTCAGGACTTCCAGGCTTTGGCACCACCCACCACACCCTGGCCACCCGTGCCCCAGGTGTCCCCCACCTGTGGTTCCTGGCCTTGAGCTGGGCGCAGCCAGACGGCTGCCAGCGTCAGACGCGCCGAACGAGCCAGGCTCGGGACCTTGTTGAGCAGGACTGTGAGGTGTGAGTGGAACAGGTTACCAAGCTCCGGGGTTAACTGATAGCAGGAGTGAGAAAGCCAGGAGAAACCCCAGAGCGTTTTTAAGATTTTTATTGCTTGTCCAGTGCACTCTTAGGACCCCACCCCTCTCTGCCAGCCAGCCCGTGTGTTCTGTACCAGAGACTGGTGTGAACGGACCAGTAGAGGTTTCTGTTCAAGAGGAAGCTGAACGCATGGCCTGCCCCTGACGAGGGAGGTCAGTGGGCCCAGGAGAGTCAAGTGCTTGGCACCAAGGGAACACGCAGGTACCGTGCCCGGCCACTGGGAGAGCAGCCTGGACAGCCTGCACAGACTCAACCAGTCCTCCGGGCCCCCCGGCCACTCCTTCTGGCCGGAAGGCCCCTCACTGAACCCCAACACAGATATCTTCAGGCTGGTGGCCCCACACCTGTCAGGGGAAGAGCTGCCTCGACCTCCCCACAATTCTGATTTCCTTCCTCCGGACCCTGTGCTTTGCAGCTCCTGTGTTTTCCTGCCCGGGGCCGGGGGTGGGGGTGGGCTGTGCTCCGCATCTTCCCAGCCTTGGGCATCAGCTGCTCAGAAGCCCCGCGAGTGCCGCACACTGTGAACCTTACCCTCTGCCAGCTTGGGGCCAGGAAGGACATCCTACTCTTCCCTCCTCCGGGGGCAACCACTGCTCACTCGCCGTCCTCCAACACTGTTGGTCAGCGGTGTCGGCCGTGCACACAGCCGCCGCATCCCAGCCTCGGTCTCTGTGCTCAGGGGAGAACCGCCCAGCAGCACCTGGGATCGCTAAGGCCTCCTGGTCCTCCAAGACTTGGGGGTGGGGGTGTGCAGGTGGAATTCAGCAGGTGAGGGAGAGGATGGGAAATGGGCATTTTAATGAGGGAGAAACCTAGGCTCAAAAAAGCGAAGAAACAAAAACAAAAACAAAAACAAAAAAACCACACACCATCCCAAGGTAATCAAATCTGCTTCAGAAGCTGGACACTCAGCCCAGCCACAGAAAGCCTCCTTTCCCTTGGAGGTGACCCGCCTGAGCCAGAAGTCCAGTCCCTTATGGCTCAGAAAGGGTCCCTGTTGAGCACAGAGCAGGGAGACCTGGAAGTCTGGGTCCAGGGAAGAGGCTTCCCCAGCGGGCAACCTGGTTTCCCCTGGGGTGGCTGCAGGCCCCCAAGTCTCAGGATGGGTGGAAGCCAAGTCACTTGGTCCCCTTGGTGCAGACCCACGGTCTTGGAGAGGCACAGTCCAAAGCCACCAGCTTGCCTCCCTCTAGGCCCCCGCACTTGAGATCTGGCTGGTCCTCCTCTTCCTCCGGGAGTCTGGGGAAGGTGAGAAGAGGGGACAGAGCTCAGGGTGACAGCCCCTGCTGGCCTGTGTGCCTGCTGCCAACGCTGGCGTGGGTAAGGCTTCATCACCGCACGGGGTCGTGGGGTCCGGGAAGGGCCCTCAGATGGGAGCCGTGAGGATGTGCCATAGCTCATGAGAACCACCCAGATCCCTCTGTGCAGCCCCCTCGTCTACAGAACAGGGCAACGATCCTGCGTGGGTGAGTATTCTGGGGGCCCGAGCAAGGGATGGGGTGACTGGGACAAGTGAAACTAAGGCTCCAAGCCAGACGGGGCAAGGAGGGTGGGGGCGGAACAGGGGGCTGAATCTGGGAACACATGGAGGTTCCAGATCGGGGTGGGGGGGGTGTCAGCAGAGAGGAAGGCCCCAGCCCCTCTGTGGCATGTGCTGTGATGTCATTCTGGTCGTACTGGAGACAGAGGGGCCACCCACCCAGGCCCATGGTCACTCACAGCTGGGGCGACAGTGGGGCCCCGTCGATCCAGTGCCAGCCCTGGGGGCCTCGCCGGGCCCCCACCCAGGAGTACTTGGGGACTGGGTATCTGCTCAGGAAGTCCTGAAGGAGAAAAGCAGCGGGTCACCCTTCTTTGGACACTAGTAAGACTCACCTGGGGCTTCTGTGCCCCCTCCTCCCCGCCAGACCTTGGGCAAGTTCCCAGCTCACCCAGCTGTCCCCAAACACCAGGAACTGGAAAGCTGTATTGGATGCTTGCCGGTTGCCAGACACTGGGGACGGGAAATGGGGGAATCCCCACTCAGCCTCAAGGGGAGAGAGCATGTGAAGGCCAGTCCCCACCAAGCAGTGTGAGCTGGGTATGGAGGGGATAGAGCAGAGGGCCGGCAGGACATTGGTCAGTGACATCGTATCAGCTCAGCACATTATTAAGAATATTTTTTAAAAAGATGAGAACAAAGACCACGGAGCCATAAGAAGCAAGTTATGGGACATCAAGGGTTATGGTGGGTAAAAATGCTGACTCTGAGGGTGGCACGATTACAGTCACGACAAAATGTGTTCGTACAAGAACGCAGACGCATGAGGTGAATGACGAAAACCCCAAGGATGTCAGAGAGATGTTAGAGATGATCTTCCTCTTCAATATTTGTCCTTGATGTCACACATTAAAGGAAAAAATGGCATTTAAAAAATGTTTAACTTGGAAAAAGATGTTTTAATGTAGTAAGTCCCGGCATGAGGCCGCGAAGCTGGCGCGGTTTCAGAACTTACTTTGCTGCCTCTTTGCACGCAAGGTCACATCCTTCCTACCACTCCCACGAGTGATTCCACTTTGGAGAATAAATCCAAGAGCATAAAGGGGAGAAAATGAACTTACCCAAAGATAACACAGTGCTATTTAGGAAGGAAAAATGGAAACCACCCAAATGCTCGGCAATCAGGAAATAACTGGGCCCGTTATGGGATATCAACACGACGGAAAGTTACAGTGCTGTTCAGGATGCCAAGTACGTAGCAAATGTAACTATGAATCCCACTGAGTGAAGAAAAGCAGACCGCACCGGGAAGTACACTTTGCTCACGACATCCAGAAGCCTCTATCCATGAGCGAAAATTAGGAGACTGTCCTGTGTGAGTTGAGGGTTTGACCAGCTCTTCCCGAGAAAACTTGTTTAAGTTGAGAAATCCCAAACCTCGCTATTTAACCCTGGTTCTTAGAAAGTAAGCACGGAAGTAATGACTGTCCCCTGAAGGGACTGTGTGCAGACCCCGTGTAAAGTGAGCTGCCCTAACCGGACTCTGGAGTTTGGTGCACGGCCTGTCGCTTTCCCATGTGGGACCGTGAACCTGGTGAGGACGGGGAAGGCACACCCACGGCCACACGTCGGGCTGGACTGCAGGCCGAGGCCTGCCAGCAGGGCCAGGCAGGGGGCTGTGCAGGGGAGGACGGGGAACCCGGAGGTGGCTGGGAGCTGAGTCAGTGGGCAGAGCAGCTCTGGGCAGTGGCTGCAGCAGAGGAGGGGCCCCTGCTGGCCGGCACCCTCCTCCTGGGAACGGGGAAGGAACACCAGGGCACGGGGCTTCTCCCAGCACCGGGACACCCCCTATTCAAATTCTGGTCCTGTGGGACCTTAGGCAAGGACACCTTTCTGAGCTTCCATACGGGCCTCCGAAGTCGGGGCACGTTGGGAAGGAGGCCTGAGAGGATCTGTATAAAGCCAAGGGCATAGTGTACACACTCACTACAGGAGAACTCTGTGGTCTGGGCTGGAGGGCGTGCAAACGCAGCCCCCAACACAGGGAACCTCATCTGAGGTCCCCAGTGCTGCCAAGAAGCCCCTGCCCTCAGTTCTGGCTCCAGGCTTGCCCTGACTTCCACCTCTGGGCCTCTTGGAACAGGAGGCACAGCCCGTCCCTGAACACTCACTCCTTTCCACCCTTCCTTCCTCATAGTGCTGACGCCGTGCACCTGTTCTCACAGCGAGCAAAAACGACGGCATGGGAAAAGCATCATCCAGAGATGTAAATTCCAGAAACTCAAGAATAACTTGAGTTCAAACTACTGCTCCCGTAACGATGCCACCAGCATCCTGGGGCCTCCACGGCCTCCCGAGGGCGCTTCTCCAACTTGGCCACCAATGTCGGGGCCCATGGGAATGGGATCCCGAGCAGAATGTACTTGAAATCCCATATGTGGCATCTTAAAGTGGAGGTAAATTGTCTGCTCTGCCCTCAAACATTTCTTTTTTTCTAAAGTTGTGGTAAAATACATATCATGGAATTAAGCATTTTCACCATTTTTAAGTGTCCAGGTTGGTGGCACCGCGGTTGTCCACGCTATTATGTGACCATCAGGGCCGTCTGCCCCCGGAACTACCTTCCTCGAGGGAAACTCCCTGCACCTCCAACACCTGCCCCCAACCCTGCCAGCCCCACTCCGCTTTCCGCCTGCATACATTTCTGCTTTCATATGCAAATGATCAATTAGTTAATTGGCTTAATCCTAGGATGGGTATTTCTTCCGGTCTTTTTTCACCTTCCTGCAGTTGGTGCGTGAGGCTGACAGTCATGTGCGCACCTCGAGCTCCCTGCACCCCCGGAGACACAGCTGTGTGAGACCAAGGGCACCGATGGCACCTCAACTTTCTCCCTTTTCGCTAATCTGGAGCAAACTCAGCTCTGCGGGAGTAGGAGACCTGCTTCTCCAAGGGCTGGGCGAACCACTGGTACCACCACAATGTCCCTGGGTGTGTCCTGGAGGCTGGCCTTTGCCCAGTGCCCCTGCCTGCCTCGCCCTGCCCGAGTGCCTCCTGGAGCGTCTAGCCCTCGTCCAGAGCTCGGAAGGATTCCAGAAGTCCACAGTCACCGTATTCCAGAATTTAACTGCCTGGGACCCAATCCTCTTTTTGTAAGGAACTTACTCAGACACGTATGTCCCAAATAATTGATCCTGAATGATTAGTTTTGAAAGAATTCTTTATCTCAAGCTTGCAGTTTGGTTGGTGTAAGCCCATCTGCCCCCTGGAGGGTGCACCCGCCACGGACCAGAGGGCTGAGGTCATTCTGAACTGAACCCATGTCCTCAGGAGCTGGAGGGCAGAGGCAGGCTTTCTGAGGATGCTTGCTGGGCTCGGTGGGTCCCTGCCAGGCTTGACCCCCTCCCCCAGCGCCACCACTGTCCAGGGACCCACCTCTGCTCCCGTTCCCACTGGCTTTCATTTTGTGGACACCAACAGGGAGGGGCCTCGGAAGGTTCCTCAACACAGCCAGTTCTTATTTGACAAGTGTAAGAACTCCAGGCCTGCCCCAGGCCTCTGGCAAAATCTTTATAAACTGATCTTCTTCATAGGCTACTGTCCCTCTGGCATTTCCTCCAAATTATACACAGCACATATTATTTGCAGAACATTTAGAAAGTTAAAAAAATAATAATTAAAACTTTAAGGAAGAAGAAGAAAAGACCAGTCATAAATCTTGCCCCCAGGGATAACCACAATTAGAATAACGAGTATACATATTTCCTTCCTGTGTTTTTTCTTTGCGTATATCTTTTTATCATACTGAGATCCCAGATTTGGTGTTTTTCAATCTACACTGTATCCTTTTCATTTCCCCATGTTTTTTTGAAACAGAGTATTATTCCTGATGATCAAATAACTCACTGTATTTCCCCAGCTCAGTGTTCTATCCACCTCCAGGAACTCTCTCAGAGAGAAAGAAAAAGGCAGGGACCCCCTTCCCTGTTGTATGGTGCAGAATAGCTTTCAGGTCAGGACTGGGCAGAACAGTCCAAGAAAACCAAATGTCACGTATGAGAAATCCTAAGTAACATATTAACAAGTCAAATCCAGAAGTCCTGGGGGAAGAAAAAATCCTGGCTAAGGAAACTATCACAAGAGCCCTAGAATATTAAAAAACAAAAAAACTAAAACAAAAAAAAACAATGTAATTCACACAAAAAGAAATCCAGGAAGTAAACAAAAAGATATCATCTCAACAGACACACAAAAAACCATCCAATGAAATTAAACTCATTCATGTTTAAAACTTTTTTTTTTTAAAGATTTTGTTTATTTGACAGACAGAGATCATAAGTAGGCAGAGAGGCAGGGAGATAGAGAGAGGGACGGAAGCAGGCTCCCTGCCGAGTAGAGAGCCTGATGTGGGGCTCGATCCCAGGACCCTGGGATCATGACCTGAGCCGAAGGCAGAGGCTTTAACCCACTGAGCCGCCCAGGTGCCCCCATGTTTAAAACTTTTAAGAAAATAGGAGTAGAAAGGAATTTCCTGAAATGATAACAGAAGGGGAAAATAAGAGACAAGAACGGGAGATGATAGCAATGAGAAATTCCCATAGCACTTGGGTAGCACCCAAGAAGGTGATGCATTTTTTCAAGGAAAAGGTCGAGTGAGAGGAAGCTGAGAAAGATGCCAGTCTGAATTGAGAAGTCCCCAAATGCTCAAATATTAGAGGCGACAGGCCCTTCTAGAGGCCAAGATACAGGAAAGGGGCCTGGAAAAGTCTGGTGACAAGTCTATAAAAGCAGCGGCGAAGGCCCCTCTCCTACCTCTTCCCACAAATCCACTCACCCCTCCCATACAGCAGGTCACCAGGAGAACTGAGAGAGAAACCACAGGGGACCAGGGACCCAGAGCACCAGGTCTGGCTGAGGGTTGGAGGAAGTTAGACTAAAAAAGGAGAGGGATTAAGTGCTACACTCTTACAAGTGAAACCTTGGCTCCCTTTTCCCACTGTTCCTCGAATGCGGACATCTTAGCACTCACTTAAAAAAAAAAAGAAAAAGAAAAAGAATAGTTGAGGCCCAGTGTGATGTCCCCATTGCAAAGCCTGCCCCTGCTAAAGCCCAGTGCAGCCCCTCCCCTCCCCCCCCAACACAGAGCTTCCAGCCTGTTCTCTAGTGCCTCACTCTGGATTATAACAGCTAGGGGTCATCAGACATTTCAGGACATTTTCTAACATGAAAAGGCAAAAATCCCCCACAACTCAGTACATAGAATAAAAAGTACTTGCAGAAAAAAAAAAAAAAAAAAAAAAAAAACAGATATAGTACAGGGAGCAGAACAAATTCCAAAACGAAGTTAGCTATATCTACTATCTATAATGAGATAAGAGAGGGGCACCTGGATGGCTCAGTGGGTTAAGTGCCTGCCTTCAGCTCAGGTCATGATCCCAGGGTCCTGGGACTGAGTTCCATGTCATCGGGCTCCCTGCTCAGCAGAGAGTCTGCTTCTCCCTCTCCCTCTGTGTGCATGTGCATTCTCTCTCTCAAATAAATAAATAAATCTTTATAATGAGATAAAAGAAGATATTGCATCCTTGAAACAAATAGGACACCATAAAAAAGGATATTTGAAGAACCAAAAAGAGTTCTCAGAATTAAAAATAAAGTAGCAGGAATAAAAATGAAGAAAAACACCAACAAAGGGATAGGATTGTTCAATTTCAGGACAGAGGGAGAAGAAAGATGAAAGCCCTGAAATTTGGAGTTGGGGAGGGTCACATACAAAGGATCAGAAATCAGACTTATTAAATGGTAACACTGAACACTGGAAGATAATGAAGCGAAACCAGCACAATGCTGGGGGAAAACTATTTCCACCCTAGAATTCTATACCCAGCCAAGCTATCAGTCAAATAAGGTTAGAATAAAAGCATCTTCAGACATGACAGGTCTCAAGAAATTTACCAGGCACGCACTTTTTTCCCAGGAAATTTACAGTGTATGTGCTCCACCAAGAAAAGGCTATAAACCAAGAAAAAGTCTTGAGATCTAGGAACCAGGGATCCCACCTAGGAGAGTGGCAAAAGCATACCAAGGACGGAGACAAGATTCCAAGACAACATATACCTTGAGCACTGTGCACCTTCCCTCCCCAGGACAGATCAATATAGTGATTAAACACACATTTCTGTGGTTTCTTGATTAACGCCTGCCGCACTCACTGCTCTGTTGGCCGTGTAAAGGTGAGGCCAGGTGTTCTAGCTCGTCCTTGAGTCCCCAGTGTCAAACACAGTGTAGGTGCCTGATAACTACTTATGAAAGCACTGGCAGAAGGAATGCTCCCTGTTAACTGCTTGGCCACAGGATGGACAGGACTGTCCCTACCCCCATCTTCCCTGCTCCGCCTCTACTTCTTAGAAGGAAGAGTAATTTGAAGATCTTGGACCCCTGAGGTCTGGTCCTCTCGCATGTCACGTTATCTCCCCAGGCCTTGGTGATTTTCTCTGTAATGCAGAGATGCACTAGATCTTTGCCAGGAGTCTGTGGTCTGTGATGATACCCACATCCTCCCACTGCCCACCGCCTCCGTCTCACCTGGGTGTGGCTCAGCAGTGGGAGGGTAGCCTGGTGAGCTGAGCAGAAGGCCTGGCTGGCCTCCCAAGCCTGAGCTTCGGCAGAGAGGTAGTAGCAGTTCTCCTCGGACCACATCCAGCCACGGGGACATGGCCGGCATCTGGTCCCTGCAAGCAGAGAAACCACTGTAAAGAACTGAATGTATGCAAGTGAAAAAAGTCAAAAATCTAGGGCACATGGGTGGCTCAGTCGGTTAAGCAGCTGCCTTCGGCTCAGGTCCTGATCTCAGGGTCCTGGGATCAAGCCCCCACCAGGCTCCCTGCTGAGTCCTCTCCCTTCTCCCTCTCCCTCTGCTGCTTCCCCTGCTTGTGCTCTCTCTCTGGCTCTCGCTCTCTCTCATAAATAAATGAAAATCTTTAAGAATATATATAAATAAATAATCAAAATCTAGGCACTGTTTTGAGTGAGGGGGCAAATCTGGAGTGTGGATCGGGTGAGCCCTGGGAGAGCAAGCAGGGTGGGCAGGGCCCCGGGCAGGCTGTGGAGTCTGTGCAGGGCACAGACCCCTCCCCCAGGTGGGGTCTGCCAACCCCCTGCTTGTTGGAGCACAGGCTGTGTCCATCGGGAGGTAGGAGCTCTTTGTCCCTCTTTTTGCTCAACAAGTCCTGTGGGGATGTCATTTTCTAATTCTCACAAAGCTGCCATAAGGAGGAGACGCCCCGGTGGTGGACAGGGGGGTAGAGGGACCGGGAGGAGGCACCACACCTGCTCTAGACGCCAGAGCCACGATGGCGACTGCGGACACGGCCAGGAACACGGCCATGACCGCCAGCGCCCAGCGCAGGGACTTCATGTACATAGGCAGCCCTGGGGGAGCAGACAACCGGGAGAGACGGGTTAGAAGGAGACGACCCAAACCACACCCGACTTGGAACCACACTGACTCACATACCAGCACCCCAACCCCTTGGCCCAAGACACCACAAAAACCCACTCAATTTAGGACAAAACTTCCTATTTGGGAGAAAAATGCTTGAAGATATTCTGCTTCCTTTTTTTTTTTTTAAAGATTTTATTTACTTGACAGAGATCACAAGTGGGCAGAGAGGCAGAGAGAGAGAGAGGAGGCAGCAGGCTCCCTGTGGAGAGCCCGATGTGGGACTCGATCCCAGGACCCTAGGATCATGACCTGAGCTGAAGGCAGAGGCTTAACCCACTTAGCCACCCAGGTGCCCCAGATATTCTGCTTCTTAAATAACTAGAAGACCTCAGAGTCCGTTCAAGAAAGGGAACAAATGAGTGGCTGACAACCGTACGCTGAGCACTGACTGAATGGGCACAAGACACAGGGCACAGACCCCACCAACAACAGGGCCAGACCTCTGCGCTCACGGAGCTAACAGTACCGGGAGCTGCCCCTCAAAGAGAGGGATGTGGGTTCCGTTTCAGCTTGGACAGACCTGAGTTCAGGTCTGGCCTCCACAGGCCCCCCATGTGTTTTTGGTCTTTTTCCATTTTGCCAGTGAAATCACCGGCCTCTTCTATCTCCCTAGCTCACTGGAGGCCACCAGTGAAGCATGGTGCAGGGCGTGCTTTGCAGGCAGGAGAGCAGCAGACAGATGTGAGGCGGCCGGCAGCTCAGGGCCGAGGGGGACCCGAGAAGGGCAGTGTGGCTGCTGGGGGGGAAGGAGCTCTGGAGATGGAGTTGGGAGGGGCAAAGGCTCAGAGAGAGAGAGAGAACTTGTTCGATTGTCAGATGCTGCCCTGGTGACGGAGTGACCGTGGAGACCAGATGGGAAAACGGGGAGAAGAAAACACAGTAAATGGTTAATCACGGCCATCGGTGGTTGTAAGCAGCTTTCCACCCGGAAACACCTAAAGTAACTGAGCGCTCCTGAATTTGATCTCTGCCTGGACACAGAGGCATGAAATCAATTAATGCAAAGAGACCTCTCTTTAGATGCGAGTTCAATTTAAACTTCCCAGGGGTGTCTGGGTGGCTCAGTCAGTTAGGTGTCTGCCTTCAGCTCGGGTCATGATCTGGGGATCTTGGAATCGAGCCCCACGTCGGGGCTCCCTGCTCAGCGGGGAGCCTGCTTCTCCCTCTCCCTCTGCCACTCCTCCTGGCTTGTGCTCCCTCTCTCTCAAATAGATAAAATATTTTATATATTTTTAAAGATTTTATTTATTTATTTGTCAGAGAGAGCGCACAAGCAGGCAGAGAGGCAGGCAGAGGCAGAGAGAAAAGCAGGCTCCCTGCTGGACAAGGAGCCCGATGCGGGACTCGATCCCAGGACCCTGGGATCATGACCTGAGCTGAAGGCAGCAGCTTAACTGACTGAGCCATCCAGGCGTCCCAATAATTTAAAAAATAAACTTCCCAGACACCTGCTGCCACGGGCCGGAGGACCCACCCACATCTCGGGGCCAAAGGCTGGGAATGCCACATGTCCAGTGTAAGGGTCCCAAGAACTCAATCATCATATGTTTGCCAAAACCCAGAACAGCAGAGGTTAATTCTCCAGCAAATATTTTATTATTTTGAAGAGACTGATTCCATTTTTAAAACCATATGCATATTCATATGTACCTCCGTATGAATACACACAACATGTACACAAAGAAAGCTGGGACACATTTCCAAGGTTTTTCATAAAACATGTTTTCAATCATAACTCAACTCTAAAAGCACTTTTGAAGTCCTTGATTTCCTATTTCCATTAGAAAAAAACACCTGCTTCAAAGACTGAAAAGGGAAGTGTGTTACACAGATATATACGAAGAGTCACATTCCATCTGTGACCTTTTTGGAGTTTGCTTTTTTATTTTTAATTACATAATCTGCTCCTTAAAGGGGTTTGACCCAAATTTTCATCAACTGATAAATGGATAAACAAAATGTGGCATATCCATACAGCAGAACACTCAGCCATAAAAGGCAGCACTGGTGGGTGCTGGGCTGTGGCTGAACAAGAGAACTTTATGCCAAGTGAAAGAAGCTTGTCCCAGAAGGACACAGATGAGTCCATCTATGAAATGTCCAGAATAGGCAAACCCACAGGGACAGAAAGTGGCTCAGTGGTGGCCTGGGAGAGGCTGGGGGGGTTGACAACTCAAAGATACAGTGTTTCTTTTTAGGGTGTTGAAAACATGCTAAAACCACCTGTGTGATGTGTGATGATTGTGCACATCTGGGAATTTGAAGACCACCGGACCACGCGCTTGAAGTGAGTGGGCTGTGCGGTTACATGAATTATAACTTGATAAAGCCGTTACCAAAAAAAAAAGTGACTTGAATATGCTTGGAATCAAAGATACATACAAATTGAGAGTCTTAAAATAAAAGCAGAACTAAAAAGCCTGGAGAAGAAAAGGAACACAAATCTACCAGTCCCCTCCGTCAATGCAACAACCGTGACTGCACGCTCAGGCCTTTCAGAAAAGAATGCTTAAAAGAAATAGAGCAGGTTACACAGTCCCACCCACCTTCCGCTCAGGGCTGCATGGCTGACCTGGGGAATGGCCCCCCACAGAGCCAGAGTCCTCCCAAACTTCCAGACAGAGGAAGTCCTGCCTACCCCCTTTCCAAGGCAATTCCTTTTTTTTTTTTTTTTTAAGATTTTATTTATTGGAGAGAGAAACAGCTAGAGAGATATCGAGTCAGAACGAGTGGGGGAGAGGCAGAGAGGGAGAAGCAGACTCCCCACTGGGCAGGGAGCCCCGCGTGGGGCTCGATCCCAGGACCCAGGGATCATGACCTGAGCTGAAGGCAGACACTTAACTGACTCAGCCACCCAGGTGCCCCTCCAAAGCAATTCCTAATTACACAGGTAACCCCAAAACATTCTCCTTACAAAAAAATGAAAACACACATAAACCTAAAGCCCCTCTATACCCGTCTTCACCCCACTTCCAATTCTGGACCCCCTTAAACCAAATCCTCTCGTGTCTGCAAACACACCCAGTCCCACGTGGCAATAATAACACACACTCGCTTTCTCTCCAGCACCTTCCCCTCAGCTCCACTCTCTAGCTTCCACCCAATTTCCCTTCCCCCATCTTGGAATGACATCTCTGATGTCACATCCTCTGTTCACTCTTGAACTGCGAGTCTCCCTTAATCTGCCACATTTCCTACCCGCAGCTGATGCACTGTCTGCTTCCTCCTAGTTAGATCCAGTGGCTTGGGCTGGAACCAGGTTTTGTGGGGCTTAAAGGTTATTCAATTTGAGGGGGAAATCTTAAAAAGAAAAAGAACAGAAAAGAAAAGAAGAGAACAAAAAAAGAAAACTTCCAAATACAAAGCTCAGAATAGGACTGACTCAGAGGGCTCGTGCCCATGAGTGTCCCTTTTGTGTCACTGCTTCACGTAAAGCTGTTACAAACGCCCTTGCTCCTCCAGCTTGGCCTGACTGTGCTGGTCATCACCCTTCCGGGTCCCATTTCCTCCAGGCCCCCAGCGCCGAGTACGTTCTTCCTGCTCATCCCACCAAAATTCGAACTACCTCTGGACTTCCGAGGCCACCCCACCTTCTCCAAAAGACACCTCCTGGGGTGTCTGGGTGGCTCAGTGGGTTGAGCCACCTCTGCCTTTGGCTCAGGTCATGATCTCAGAGTCCTGGGATCGAGCCCTGCATCGGGTTCTCTGCTCGGTGGGGAGCCTGCTTCCCCCTCTCTCTTCTGCCTGCCTCTCTGCCTACCTGTGATCTCTCTATCAAATAAATGAATAAAATCTTAAAAAAAAAAAAAAAAAAAAAAAAAAGGACAACTCCTCCCCCAGCCTCTGTTCTCACTCTCAGCTCCAGAGTCCTCCCTGCCCAGAGCCCCCTGGCTCCAGCCCAGGCTGACCTGTACTTGTACTTTTTTTTAGTCCTAGACTCCTTAATTACTCTGACAAAAGCTGTAAACTCATTGTGGTGGAGAGAATAACGTTCCGTCCTTGCCTCAAAGATGCGCATGACTTAATCCCTGGAACCTGTGAGTAAGTTAGGTTACATGGCAAAGGGCACTTCAGGTTTTGGTTGGAATTAAGGCTGCTTATTAGCTGACCTTAAGATGAAGAGATTTTCCCGGGTTTTCGGGATAGGCCCAATGTAAACACAAGGGTCTGTATAAACAAGAAGGAGGCAGAAGAAGAGGAAAGTAAGAGAGGGCAGCAGAAGGAATCAGTCCAACATTGGTTGCTGGCTTGGAATATTCTGAGGGGCCTGAACTAAGGAATGCAGCCTCTTCTAGCTCCAAAAGGCAAGGAAACAGAATCCCCCCTTGAGCCCCCAGGAAGGAACACAAGGCTGCTGACAGCTCAGCTTTAGCCCTTCAGACTTCTGACCCACAGAACTGTAAGATAATAAATGTGTTGTTTCAAACCACTAAGTTCGAGGCAATTTGTTAGGGCAGCAATAGGAAATACATCTTTGGGGAGCCTGGGTGGCTCAGTGGGTTAAGCAGCCGACTCTTGATTTTGGGTCCCATCATGATCTCAAGGTTGTCAGATGGGCCCCCTGTGGGGCTCCACACTGTGCCTGGAGCCTGCTTGGGATTCCCTCTCTTCCTCTCCCTCTGCCCTGCCCCGTTTTAAGGAAAAAAAAAAAAAAAAAAAAGACAATATACCATCATTTAGAAAATGTGTTCACGCCAAACTGCAAAATCCCGAGTGATTTGTGTCCCTGAACTCTCCCCGAGACTAAGATGTGGCAGATCCCCTGAGGCTTTGGGGCCTGTCTAGCTGGCCTGGCCTTCCTCTAACCTGGCCAAACTCTTGGCACACTGCCTCCTGAGCTTTCCAGTTGGAAGGGACCTTTGCCACCCCTGAATCCTATTCACTTTTCAACGTTTATTCCAGGAAGCTTTCCCATGCCCCCAAGCTCACCAACCACTCCCTCTTGGCTCCTGGTCCAGGATTGTTTATGCTCCTATATTATTATTATTATTTTTTAAGAGAGTGAGGAGAGGGAGGGCAGAGGGAGAGGGAGAAAGAATCCTAAGCAGGCTCCACGCCCAGCACAGAGCTGGGGAAGTCTCCATCTCACCCCCCTGAGATCACGACCTGAGCTGAAATCGAGAGTCAGAGAGGCATAACCGACCGAGCCACCCAGACGCCTCTCCAGGCTCCTTCTTGTCCCCTGACGAGCACCCCGCCCCCAAGACGGGCCCCTCTCCGCCACACACCGCCTCCAGCAGTCTGGTCCCCAGTCCCCCCGCAGTAGCTGATGAATGGGGGAGTGTTCGGGGCCCAATGCTCCTCAACAGAGGCGGAGAGAGAAGGGGAGTCCGGGTCGGGAGACTCGGTTCCGGGTTCCCGCCCGAGCCGCCAGGGCAGTCAGGTGATGCTGGAAGCCCTCCCTCTCCTGGAAGCCCTCCCACCTCTACTTCTCAGCCACGCCGCGTGCACGAAGAGGGAAATGTGGAAGTTCTCGCGCTGGGGAGGCGGAGTGGTGGCGGAAATAGAGGTTTTATTCTCTCGGCACAGACGAACGCGGTACAATTGCCTAGCCCCGAATGTTACGGATCCCAGGCCGGACAGGCCACGTGGGGCCCGGGCAGCGGCCGCAGTGGCCGAGGCGCTGGGCGGCTGTGGGGGACGCTCAGGCGGCGTCGCCCCCTCCCGGCCGCGCGGGCTTACCTACGAGCTGTACGGCCCGGGGCAGCTTCTCGTCGCCGCCCGTCTCCGCGCGGTGCAGCAGTGCGCCGGCCTCCTCCTTCTCCAGCCCCGGCTCCCCGCAGCGGCCGCGGCACGTCGGGGAGCCCGGGAGCTCCGAGCGCCCGTCTGCGGGGCTCGCCCGGCCCTCGGCGTCGAGGCCGCGCTCGGGCCGGGCGGGGGTCCGCTGCAGCAGCGGGTGCGCGGGGAAGGCGTGGCGGGAGAAGGCCGGGGACTCGGGCACCGGCACGGTGAGGAAGCGCGGGGACGGCGCCGGCGAGGGCGCGCGGCTGCCGCCCGCCACGCCCACGGACTTCACGCGCACGTCCACCTGCAGCTCCACCGGGGCCCAGGCGCCCTGCGGCGGCTCCCCCGGTACCAGCTCAGCCCCCGGCGCCTCGCCGGCCCGGGACTGCTCGGCTGAGGCGGGGCCGGGCGACGGCGGCTCGGAGCCCGTGGACACCTGGCGGCGGAAGGCGCCGTAGCCCAGGCTGGGGGGCGGGAGCCGCAGGAGCGCCGGGCGAGGCGGGGGCAGCTTCTTCCCGCGGGAGAGGTCCTGGCCCGCGCCCGCCGCCTCCTTTGCGGCGCGGGCCAGACTCGGGCTGCTCTCGGGACTCTCGAGCTGTCGCTCCTCTGCGGGGACCTGCGGCTGCTCCGGCGCCGCGACCTGGCTCCCCAAGGGCTCCATTGGGAACTCGGCTCCGGGTTGGTCTCCTCCGGACCCTGCTTGGGCCCGCTCCATCCGGTGAGCAGAGCGACCGAGAGACGCAGAGCGAGCGCACCTGGGCCCAGGTATGGAGTCGGCTTCACCAACTGGCTGGGGATTGGTCCAGCCTGGTCCCTGGAAGTTTTCAGGCCACGCCCCTCTGCCCCGCCCACCCGAAGGACCCCGCTGGGATTGGCGGTGGCTGGGATTCTGTTGGCCACGCCCGCTCCGCAGGGCTCCGGGAGAAAGGAGCAGAGGGCCGGCCCGCGGGGTTACCGAGAAAGAACTGGAAGCAGAGGCTGAAGGGAGAACCCAGAGTCCCACCTGACTCCTTCCTCTTCTTTGTCCCCAGTTCCATGGCCCTCTGCCATTGCTCTGATTTTGAAGATTACAGTTTGGGCTGAGAGCAGTTGGCCAAGTCTATGAGATGCTGCGACCTCAGGAAAAAACAAAACAAAACAAAACAAAACAAAACAGCGGGGCCAAAAGAAATTCTGTGGCCTGGGGAAAAGTAGCAGAGCTGGTTGTCCTGACAGTGTAGTGGGGGAAGGGACACCACACCTAAGAGACTTCCCTATAGCAGAAGTCCCAGGGACAGCCGCTCAGGAGGGATGACTTAGTACCCTAACTCATTAAAAAGTGAGGGATGAATAAGCATGCCTTCACGTTTTCACAGGGAGAGGAGCCTGGCTCCAGTCAGCCGGTGTGGTGCAGTGCAGGGTTCCCAAGCCTGGCTAGTGATCTGAATTCAAATCTTGAATTTGAACCGGGGTTGGCACAGGCATCAACCAGGGCCGAAAGTGCAGCCGGCACTGGCAGCAAGAAGGGGGAGCAGAAGCTGCCGTGGACTCAAAATGTGGCCCTGGCCAGTCCCTCCAACCTGCTTTCTGGATTCTGTCCCCTTTGTGTGCGGTCACACTTTGATTTCACAGACAATGAGCAGGGTCCCTAGCCCGTGGGCACACAATGGGTTCTTTCCCACCATCAGCAAACAGGAGCAGGTGGTAAATGCCTCCTTGGCATCTCCTCCTCCAGCGGACACTGGTTTCTTCCTTGTACGTCCGACCTACTTGCGCACTTTCTCCACTCCGTCACATCCTAAGGCCTCCTTGCACCACCGCAGTGTTTCTCACCCCGGCTAGTCTGCCGACATTTGCCCCGCCAAGGACACCACACACCGTCAAATCCCGCACATGTCTTCAGTGCTTGCTTTATCTCGCGGAAGCCACGCATCTGTGGCTCTCCTCATGTGCACTCTGCTGGTTTGCCATCTGCTCCCAAAGGCTTCTCACCCCCCATTAGGTCACAGACCCTGCAGCTGTCCCTCCAGCCCAGATCTTTCTCTGGACCTGGACCGTACGAAACAGGCTGTGGGGTGAATTTCGTCTCTCCACCCTGCCCTGTGCTGAATTCATATGTTAATCCCCCAAGCCTCAGAAAGCGACTTTCTTTGGAATTAGGGCGGGGACTGTGATGATGTCATTCCAGAGTAGGCAGGTTCATAATCCAACATGACTGGTGTCCTTATAAAAAGGGGAGATTTGGACACAAACACACACAGGGAGAACACTGTGTGAACATGAAGGTAGAGATCAGGGTGATGTGTCTACCGGCCAGGGAAGGCCAAGGATTGCTGGCAAACCACCAAAGATAGCAGACAGGCCCAGGGCAGATTCTCTTCCCACAGACCTCAGAAGGAACCAACCCTGCTGGCGCCTTAACCTTGGACTTCCTGCCCCCAGAGCTGGGAGATAATACATTTCTGCCATTTAAGCGGCCCAGGGTGTTACCCTGTCACCTCAGGCTGCCACAGCAAACAAGTCACCCAGCCAAATGGCTGCCCGCCCCGGCAACGGCTCTCTGGACGGATGCAGGTGGTCTCTGTGTCCCCCCTCTGGACCCCTTCCCCCACCGTGGCTGATACAGTTGGGCCAATCCGATTGTCCCTCGAAGGAATTTTGGCACTTGATCTGAGAGACTGAGGGCGGGGAGGTGTCACAACTCCAACAGGGCGGCTCCCTGGAGAGAAGACCCACAAACCCCTCTTCAGGTCCCTGGCGTTTCCCTGGTCTCAGCCCTTCCTGAAGCCTGCTTGCTCATGTGTGTGGACTTCATGAGACCCCACAGGATCTCTCCCCTCCCTCCCTTTTTTACCTCAAGTTAGGACATCATTTACCACTCTGACTGCAAGTGGCAAAAACCCAAATTTTACCACCGGCTGCCTTGGGCTCTGTGGGGCTCCCTTTGGGTGAGAGCTGGGCTCTGTAGCCATCTCCATTGTGCCTTCCATGGTGAGCCACGGTGGCTCTGTGGTCAGAAGGCCACTGACAACTCGTGTGGTGGGAGACGCTAAGGCAGGTGAATTCTCCAGCTGTTTCAAGGTTTATCTCCCAGCTGCCCCCAGAGATGAACCACTAGCTGCTGTCATTTTTCCTTCCATCCTTGTCTCCCACTTTAAATCCTTATTATTTTTTTCTGCTTATAACAGCCATACGTGCTTCTGAAACAAAATTTAAATATTACAGGAACACATGCTGTAGAAAGTGATTTCATGCCCCAGACATCCCCGTTGTTAACATTTCAATATAGAGTCTTCTGGACTTTCTTCTATGCCTATATTATTTATATTGTTATTATGGGTACACATATTTTATTTCTAAGACTTTACTCATATTATACCCATACCCATACATCATTTATTTAAGCAGTTTTCTGCTGGCCAGCACTCGGACAGGCAGTCCCGTTTCTGCAAAAGCCAGTTATAATTCAGTGCTGTCCTTGTGCCTTGTTTTTAAAAACTCAACTGATGACATCTCTAGAATAGCTTCATCAAAATGGAAATGCTGAGCCAAAGCGTGGTCACGATTTCACATTTGATGGACAGTGTCAAAACGCCCCAAATTCTCCACGAGAAGCTGAAGTAACCATGGGTGAGGGGCCGTTCCCCACAGCACCCCCAGTACCGGATGTCTTTACCAATCTGATGGGTGAAAATATATTTCTACTCCATTTCTTTAGTTATGAATGAAGCTCCACTTGTGGCCCGTGTTACTGGGCAGTGTCTTCACCAGTCTCGGGGGCTGTGGAAAGGGCTGCCTCTGGGGCCAGTTCCAGATCCCGGGCTGCTTCCAGAAAGTGGCTCAGCAGGCACCCTTGTCCCGCCTTCCTGCCCCCACGCCATGGAGTTCACTGGTCCAGGGAGAGTGATGGTATCTGACTTGTCTGAACAGACCCAAGAGTTATGAAAGCATAAACCAGAGCATGGCTGGTTTCTCCCAGGGAGGAAGCAAACACCCCCACCCCACGCCGCCCCCCAGGCTCTTGGCTGATGTCCCCTCTGGCATCCCGAGCCTTTCCAGGGCTCCTGGCCACACAGAGGAGAGGAGGAGGGGTAGTTTCTGCACAGCCGGCCCCCTGGCACAGTCCATGCTCAGCTCACATTCCACCTGCTCAGAGGCTCGGAGGCACTCCCACACCCTCGGGTCCCCTGTCCTTCACCTGGGGACTGTCTTCGTAGCACATGAGCACTAGCTTTGGTTACCAAGTTCACGTACTTGTTTTGTTGTTTAATGTTTGTCTCTGGCCTTCTAGAAATCATTGCTGTGTCCCCAGAACAGTATCTGGCGTGTTTGTCTCTGGTTCTTGGCTGACGTCACCCTCAGTGGCTTAGATAAGGACTGGGGCACGGGCATTGTGTAGGGAGCTTGGCGTATCTTCTCATCTATTCTTTTTCTCCCCTATTTTCGATGCATTTTATTTTTTTTAATTTTTAAAAAAGATTTTACTTATTTATTTGACAGAGATCACAAGTAGGCAGAGAGGCAGGCAGGGCTGAGGGGGAAGCAGGCTCCCCGCTGAGCAGAGAGCCCAATGCGATGTGGGGCTCGATCCCAGGATCCTGGGATCATGACCTGGGCTGAAGGCACAGGCTTTAACCCACTGAGCCACCCAGGCACCCCTTCGACGCATTTTAAACATTAGGAAGAAACGTTAAGAATAAACCATGAACACGTGCACCCTTTCCTCCTGGCTTCAGCAGTTAGCACTGCACCGTATTTGCTCTTCGTCTCTACACACACACACTTTTGGTCGCTATTTCAGTGCGCCGCAGACCTCAAGAAACACATCCTCAAACACTGTGGTGCACGTTTCCTAAGAGTTCAGGTTGTCCCAAATAAGTATAATACCATTCTCAAACCAGCAAATGAACAGTTAGTCCATACTAGACGATACCAAAGAGATCCTACTTCAATGTCGCCAATTTTTTTCAAAGCAGGATGCAATCAAATTCGTCCGTGGCATTCGGCTGTCGCGTCTGTTCACTTTGTCATCACTGGGAGGAAGGCACCAGAATTCCTACTGTAGTGGTGAAGAACCAGAGTCAGAGAGCTCGAGGAGCTTGTCCAGGAGCCAATGCCTCCTGAGTGGGAAGGCCAGGATGCCGTCACTCGTCCCTGACTCCCAAACTCCTCTTTTTTCCCCCCTTTCCTGCATCGGGCTCCCCTAGTCCGTCCCTCTTGGTGCCCTGGAGGCTTCACTCCAGTCTCTAGCTGATCTGGTCCATGCGAGTCATGTGCTGGGCTGAGGTCGAGGTGCCTCCCAGTTACTCAGCAGGCCAGTCCCTCCAGCTGCACACCCACTCCGTACCCCTGGGCTTGTCTCCATCGCTCTCGGACACCTCAGCCAACAGCTGCGAGTGACAGGCATTCCTGTTCCTGCCTCATTCAGTGGCTGATCCACTTGCAGTGGCCTGGGCAGAGGAGAGACCCCCACGGCTCCCGTGCGGGGACAAAAGGTGTGTGGGTACAGCGGCCACAGGGATCGAGAGAACATCCCGCCCAGATGCGTGCAAGCTCATCCGAGGAGCCTTCGAGAAGAGCAGACAAACATCTCCCTGAGTCACCCGCTGTTTGCTTTCTGCAAGTCAAGACAGATCCCCTCTTGCCGGGAGCCCCACCCCAAGAACCGTTCCTGTGGAGAGCAGCGCGCGTGCTGGATGACGAGTAACTAGTGTGTCTGTGCGTGTGTGCGCATGT